TTGATATCATGCCAGGAGTAAATTGGTTAATTGAGACAGCTTATTCTCACTAACTGCATGTCAATGAAATGTTATTGATTTGTTTGAGCATTGTTCCAATAACAATATAATATTTAAGATGGTCGTCTGCAAGGCTGACTGCTGTGCCCTTTCCCATTCATTGTTTCTGTGTATGTTTTTGTTATCTTTAATTTTATTTTCATAATTCTGGTGATTCTCTTTTAAAATGCATAAAATATCAAGGATTTAGCATCATTTAATAATTCTGAACTGGTTTTCATCGAATTCTTGACATACAGATGCAACTTCTTGGTTGATTTTCCCAAACCTTTTCGTATTGCAATCACTGAAGAGGTAACTCTCTCGTTCAAAAAAAATCAGGCGCAGAACTAGCCTATATATTAGAAACAGTTCTTATAACTTCATTTCATTTTAATGATTTTGGCCACTAAATGATTGTCATAATTCCACAATTTCTTCAAACTGCTTGGTACGAGCAGCTTTGTAGAATCGTTTCCAAATTTATCGACAGATTGAATGATTTCCCAAATAATTTAATAAAATCGATCAAGTTTGACATTCTTCAAAAATAATCTGAAAAAAAATCCCGAATCAGTACCTCCAAAGATAATGTTGGAATTGGCCTTCAATTTATAAATTTGAAAGTATTACGAAAAACAAATCTGAAACTATTATTATAAATCTGTCAAGATATATTTACTATTCGTGGCAAAAACGAAAACAATATCTTGAGAAGTTATAGTCATCTACCAACTGTTCTTGGATATAATTTGTATATAATATGTATCAATATAATTTAGTATTCGTTTAATCTGTTCTCCATTATAAGCTACACAGTTCTACACATTCTACAAATTTGTTTGTTAATTAATTGTTATAAAACTTACGCTATAGCAATATGTATTGTGTTGTACATGTAAATGCTGATTGCTATAAATCAAAATCAAATCAAATCAGGGGGCAATAATACCTGATCTAATAACGCTTATATGACACTAAGCCTGTAACAATTTGACATATTCAATTAACTGATGAAATCTCATAACCACTTGTAATCAGAGAGGTAACATATGTCATCACTATAGAGAGCCATATACCTATATCATTTACCCCAATTCACCTACAATTTATTAGATGACGCCACGCTATTCAGATTGACAGGTGAAATCAAGTATATGCCCCTATCTTATTAACAGTATATAAAATTGATATAGCGGAATGTGTAAGACGCCTGTCACTGATTTTGTGAATGAAAATGGCGCTATATGCCACATGTTGAGTAGGGATATGTGATTCTTTTTCTTTTTCTTAAAATCGTAACTTTGATATATTGGCTTTTCAATACCAGATGCCTATGCTTGCAAAATTTTAATATTTTCATGAATGAAGGACAACACTCATTAACCGTATGTTCGATTTTTTAAAGGTCTATATGAATGAAGTTGATATCCATAGTGTTAGGCCATGAGTTTGAAGGACGTCGATTTTAGCGCTCAAAATCTTCCATTCATGAACACTATAGGAACACGTAAGAATTCTTATTCAATCTTTTAAGCTTCCCTAATTTTTTACTTTCCTTCTGAAATTAAATATTTTTGAATAAGTATTTTTTTGTCACTTCACATAATGATATATAAAAACTATATTGATGGGCGTTTAGTGATCGTTTTCCATAACGTGTTACTATGTAATGGGTACAATTCTAGATAGATCAATTAAAAAATGTCGAACCATGTCGAAATCAGACTTAAAGATTAGCGAGCAAGAGTCCAACTCTTTGAACAATGGCAGCTCTCTGTGCTTGAAGTTGAAGAGTGTCGTATTTCACATGAACGACTTTCACAAGCCAATATCAATACCCAGAGATGTTATTTAACTGTTTCTATTAATTTCGAATTTTTGAATGAAATAAGGTAGACGTATATCAACCACATGTTAGATGCGGTTTCTGATAAACAATAATTATTTACGTTCCATAAAAGATACGTAAAGTATATCAATCAGACAGCCGTTAAAATTTGAAAATTTATATTTATCAATTATTCTTATCGGTACGGGAAAATACTGAACAAATCATAAATAAATGAGATAGAAAGAAAAGAAAAGAGTTTGTTGAATCGGATCTATTTTATAACCGTTCCAACAAAAGTACTATATTTTGAAAAAAAATATACCCGTTTGAATTTAGATTTATCAATTACTGTATTTGAGGCGCTCAGACTCTAGATTTTCTCAACAGAAAGCAGTTCGCTTCAATAGGTTTGAAGTTTTCGATTTTTCAATGACATATATTTATAAAGCCTTCGAAAGGATTTGGTCAGTGTTAAAATATTCATACAAATCCGAACCCAATTTTTTTGAACCCGTTTATTTCTTGGGTTCCTGGAAATAGATTCCCGTTTCTCGGAGAGTACAAACAAAGGCCGGAGTGCAACAGACTGTTGACGTTAAAATATTCTGAAAGTTTTAACTACTAAATGACCATTGCCATGTTCTGGCAGAATTTCTTTCGAGAGTTTTGATTGACAATCCAACCAAATTGATACATTTACAAGAATGGTGGCTATTAAAGTCAAGGTATAAGACACAGTTCGTATTAGCTTGAATTCTCGGTATATTGCTGACAGTAATTAAGTTAGTCGTAGATCTACATCAACTACGAAAAATAAGAAAGATTCGCTTGAGCAGATTTGAATGGATGAAAGAGAGAGTAAATTATAAGTAAAAATACCATTGATATACATTCAAAATGATGTAAATAATATGAATGAAACGTTTATTTGAATTGAAGTTATGTTTAACGGCTATTTTCAAATTTAAAATTGTAGGGCGCAAGATTTGAAGTTAATCCAAATATTTCTAGTTGATTTGAATTTCGGAGTCTGTAATTTATTTGTAACATCCAATTGGAAATTTGAAATACCACAGATCAAGGGGATTTTTTTCAGTTACATTAAAACAATAGGCGTTGTGCCATGGGATGGGTTCTTTTTTTAAAGGTTTTGAGTTATTTTTTTAATCGCATTGTATAAAGTGATTTTAATGATATTTTACTTGGGTCAAAATTAGGTCCATGACACGAAAGTAACAAAATAGAAGATGTAATATACCAAAGCAGACCAGTGTGCTTCAGACTGTGCGAAAATCGGAATTTCTGACAAATTTACTCTATTGTACACTGTGCAGGTACAAGATCTTGATTGCCTAACTATAAACCGAGCTTTTACCATCGTATAATCAAATATCAAGCATTTTGTAGGCCTATTATTAACAGCAAATACAACCACATTCATCCCTCTGTGCTTCTGTTACAATTTTTCAATTGTATGCGATATTAAGTACTCGTGCACTATGATAAGAAAATTCAGCCACGATATAATCAATTTTGAAATCATGGCGTATCATGGCGTATATTGATGAATACGCAAAAATAAACCATTCAAGATACCACAATCTGAACTCTGATGGTAGGATCATTCAAAAGAAAAAATCTGCCACAAAATCTCATTCACAAATGTCGTTATAGTCATTGATTATCGCCACTCATCTTAATCACGCTACGTCACATTATCTGTTACATATCTTTTTTGAATATAAGTTGACACCCCTAGCGCCAGTAACAGCTGGTGTATAGAGAGTTAATACTGTATACCTGTACTATTAAAAAGATAAGCGATTTTGTATGATATGAACATTGTAAGCATTGTAATGTGACACCTCTATTAACCCATTTAACATTAGTCTGTGATTAACCCTATTTAGTCCATTTGACATCAATAAATCTTAAAAATATGCAAAAATTTGAATTTTGAATGTTAACTGAAAATTTTCATTTAATTATATTTGTTGGTTTGTCATACTTTTTTTAAACAGTCCATTCAAGCCTTATTTTTTTCTTATTCAATTGACCGAAATTTTAAGGACAGTCCTCAAAATATACTTTTGCCCGCTGAGCTTATTTATATTTTCTATTATTGCAATCGGTAAAATGCATCATGTTTCGTGTACAATACATTACTGGCTTATTGTGTATTTTAATCATCCGATCCACAATACGTTTAACCCAATACTGAAAATCGTTTCAAAAAGGGTATTTCCGACTATTTTTGTCTTCAATTTAAATGCCTAAATTTGACCATGATTCAAAAGTGCATCAGATGTGACGTGTTAAATACGCAGGTGTCCGTATTAATATTAACGTTTAAAATGGCGGAAAAGTCGATTGCAACATCCGGATATTTGAGAAAATTTGACAAAATAGATTAAAGGCAGATGTAGGGAGTCTTAGCGTGACCCTTAACCGAATTACGTCCGTTTGAAGAAATTCGGTCCCTGCTTTCACCTTTTTTTATATAATGAACATAACAAACAGGGACAGATGTAAGATATGTTTTATTGACGAAAAAGGTATATGTAAAGTTACAATGTAAAAGATAGGGTGTAAGGTTTCGCTTTGTAGCCCACCACTATCATTTAAAAAGATGAATGGGGCTTTTTCCAATTCGTGGGAACCTGACGATAATTACGCCTTATTCAAGAACTTCATTGATAAAATGTGAGAGCATTGACAAGTAAAGCGAGAGAAGAATTTGTACTATCATCGTACACCTTGCCCGAATGTCCTATCTACCAGCTGACGGATGTTACCTTAGACCCCCCTCAAACGTCTAATCATATATTACAAATTCTAACGCAATGATTCATTTTTCTTAAAGGTAAAGAGAATGTCCCGCTGTTTGTAGTGGACATAAAAAATTCTTGAATTCAATTTGTATTAATCTACACAATTTTAGCACAACTTAAGACGCACAATTTTTATCATCCAAAGACGTGAGTGTCTTCGTGCCCGATCCAAGCGTACGTCGACAATAACTTCCTTCTAACTAAATGTTTTTAACTGTTATATTTTCTTGTAATGTTGTGTGCGTTTGTAATTGAAACTTAAATGAATGGGGTTTAACGTCCTATTTTTCTGCACCATGTGGGCTATTGAAGACGGACAACGCTATACAGGGTGCAATGAGGGAAATTTTGCCAGGACAGCTCTATCAGCCCGCTCTTTTTCGATTTCCAACTGTCCAGGTATCTATACGTGCATCACGTGTATCACAAGGGACCTCAGTTTATTGTCCCATCCGAACGACTGGACGCTTTTTCCATGTCAGCCTCTCTTACCTGCATCACTGACAGGGGGAGCCGGGTTGAAAAATCCGAAGATATTATCTCGACCTGATATAAGTCGCTGAATGTGATTGATCCATCTTACATTGTAATGCATATTTGGAAGTTATATAATGTATAAAACCATTTAGACTTAATCGGAATTCTTGACGTAGCCACTTTAAAATTCTGTGAAGTGTCGTTTAAAGATTTGATAGATAACACCATCTTAGCCCTCTTAAGCGTTTCAAGTATCTTAATGAATTTAATCGTCAGGTGGTATATGGTTATATTTTCAGATTCTCGTAGCTATACGCTTTTCATTCATTATTTCCTATGAATGAAATTCTACCATTTTTTTCTTCATCATTATGTGTGATTTTTTTAGAGATTAAAAATTTGATTCATAGGATGTAAGCTGAACGACTTCTTCCACAAAGGTGTTACAGCTTTAATAGGACAGGTGAAAACTGTATGCCCATGTGTACCATCGACCATCCCTTATCCTCCCCCGCCAGACGTATGTGAGATTATGCATTAGAATGGTTTATATACAGGAGTAGAATTTTGTAACATTTTTGGCAGCTGCGGTTTCACCTATTTCCGATTTCATTGTGTACAGAAATTTGTGGTCATGGATTAAAAATAAAAATCCCTCATTCATTTTAAAGAAAAAAAGGTTTCTATTTCCGTGACGCGACTCACAAGAACAAAGCAGTAAAGAATTTGTCGTTTCCACAATAATAGAATTGCTATTTTTATAAACACTCTTGATCATATTAGATTCACGTGTTACAAACTTTGTCCTATTACCAAATAAGTTTTCTCTCAGCCTTTTTCTCAGTGTTTCTTTGTACCTTTGTTCAATGTGTTTGCTTACTCTGTTCCTACGTCCCATTCAAATAGCTGGCCATTTAAGGCCCGTAACCAGATTTGAATGTTCGGAAGAGCAAGTAATGGAGTGTGGTGTTATTGCATTGATGATATTTGTTAGCCGGCAGATTTTTTACCGTAGCTACTGGGTGTGCCCTAATATTGAAATTCATACCAGAAACTAGTATCACCAGCGGGAAATGGGCTATTATCAATTTTAAAACATTAGGACTTATAGTTAAAGAACTGTCAGTCTTCAATCTACCTTTCTGATTAATATAATTGCGGTGACGCCATTTTGTCCCCGTCGTCGATTATCTCTGGGGTTTTATTCCAGAGGATGGTCCTCCCCTATGCTACTGTCAGTCTAAGTACTTCGTCTTTCACGGCTTAATTTGATGCCGATTGAGTATATTTTACAATGATTTTCTTTTTTCTAAATTGCTTTCACATTACAAACAGAGAAATGTGGTTTTCAAATTGCCCACCCTTTAAATAATGTGGTCTTAAGATGAGGGACGAAGCTTCATATTACATAAGGTTTTTAGAAAAAACCTACAATTAATTTGTAAGTGCGATGTACCATTTCCTAAGCCTATTATTAAAATATGGCAGTGATCTGCAGGTGATGTACCATTGGAATCAATATCATATGGTAACCTCTGTGATGGTACCATTGGTTTAAAACTGATCATTGGTGTCCGAACTAAACAAAGGCACTAAACAAGCAGCTGATAGTAATATGCTATATTTAAGTACCAATAATTTACAGTGCTATTATGATATGACCAGCATCTGGACACGAATTTATGCAGAAGCTTTTGTATTGTTCCGATACCTACCTTCTGACAAATAAGTGCTTCTTTGTAAAAATCGTTAAAGAGTGCGCTTAAATCGCTGTCGTAATAAAAATACTTCTATTACCCCATTGAATCAGAATCAGTTTCTATATTCGTAGTTTTAAATTAAAACTGTATAAGTACAACGGACAAATCAAAGAAAAGAAATTACCTCTGTTGAAAATAAAGAGAAAACTAATTTAAAGAGGTACTGCAAAGTTCATTTTTGCGATTCTTAGACTTGCTTTGATAAATAATCCAAGGATTTTTATAACATATATCTAGAGGAGTAAAGAAATATAAGAAATAATGTGCCTATAGACGTATATTATAATTTATTTCGGGATGTTTTAACAGCAGCATGTATGCAAACTTCGGTGATCAATTTTTCTGTCTCATGAAACAAGATCCACAAATAGCAGTGCCGCCATTACTTTATCTCTTTTATTACCGAGTTACATATTTCTGGAAAAATATCATTATAATTAATGTTTAAAAAATTCATATTGAAATTATCACACGCGACCAGAACGTTGACGAAAAGCTAGCAAACGGACGAATGATTTATCATAAATACGGGTCGTGTTGTTCTCTGGAACTTGGGTGCATCGTAAACGTTGTGGTTTCAGCTGTTTAAACGTATGTTCTCTTTAATGTTGCTTTTAACCTTTTTGAATGATGTGTACATACCCTTATGGTTGTTTCACAGCAGTTTATGTACATAAAAGAGAACGATCCACGGGAAGTTGTATCGGGCTTTGTCTCACACTTCACTAATTCGTTATTAATAAATCTCGAAATTCATTTGAAGTTTGCAAAATAATGGTGGTTAAAATCGAACAAAAACATTTAACATGCAACTGAAGTGTTTCACTTTTTAAAGAAGATATCTTCAAGTGTCTATTATAAAAAAAGTAACCATAACATAACCAGTTTTTACGACATATGCTCATTCAATTCGCAAGTTGCTGTGACGCAAGTTACTGTCATCCGGCGTATAGTTCTTTGAATGTTCAACACAAATATGCGCAATGTAAAATGAAGCTCACACTAAGGTGATGAGCACAGTAATACAATAGATTTCTCAAAACTTATAAATTAAATCTGTCAAAACTGGTCCCAAATAATACTCACATTGTCATTTTCATTCTTAAAATATAAAAAATATAAAAATGTATTTGGCATTATCAGTTATAGTCGGGAATAGTTCCTAAGATGTAGTATGAATACAATGAAATTGTGTTAATCGAGTTTGACAATCAAGTTTGATAACCTGTTGTCCGTTATTTGAATTTTTCGAGTAACTTTATACAAAATTCACCCCCCCCCCCCCTAAAAAAACCATAATAATTCAAATTAAATATTACTTATATAACTGGTAAAAATCTTTCGAATATCTTGCGTGACCAACCAACAATTTGTATTTTTGGGGTTTTCTAAAATGATCAATGCTGCAGGGAGACCTTTTGACACCGTATCTTTTCAATAAATTTGTAAATAATATGGTAGAAATCTGTTCTCATGCTGATATGATCATATGTTAGAAAAGACATGATTTACAGGTTAGGATTAGAACAGATAATAGGGGATTTAGTAAGCGGTCAGATAAACATTAAAAAAACAGATATTCTTATCCCTTGGATTGTGACCAGGTAACCAATATGCTTGATTACAGCGCTTTAAATACAGAATAAAGCATTTAAAAACCCGTGCCAACAGTTTAACCTGTATCATATTACAGTCTAATCCACAGATCAGTTAATACTAGCGATATGAAACTTTTCAATTGACCGAAGTAAAAGGAATTGTTTGAATTCCATTCAAAGTCAATCAAATCTAAAAGCTAATGTAGATGGGATTTCGGTGTCACTGTGCTTTTGTTGACCTCGTGAATGTGAAATGGGTTACGTTTTACCTGCTTGAGCGGTACAACATGAAACAATTATCATATGACATCAATGAATTCATTGTTGATTATCGCCCACTTTAACTTTTAACGTCATTTCAGACAAAGCAATGGGCTTAGACCCAAAGTTTTGCATTAGGTAACGCCTGGCACGCACAACATGCCAAAAATTTGACATGCATAAGAAATTAGATGAATGGGTGCCGGCAGTCGAAACGTGCCTCTATAACAGAATACCATCCGAGTTGAAATTTTTGAGCAGATCAGCGATGGGACAACACAATAAGTACTTCACACGTGATGGACGGGGAACGTGGGTAGGCATGGGGGTAGAACGCATTAAATACAAAATTACCGATTGCTAAACGAGATAGTTGACTTTACATTGATGTTTTGTGAATTTGATTCGTTCTATCATCTGTAAATGACAATCTGGCTGAACAACAGGAAGACTTCTAAATGATTTAAAAGCTTTTCAGAAAAATCTGCTTTAGTTCACATGGCACAGTAGGTGGGGTAACAAAATTATTTCCAATTTTTATAAATTATTGTCGTTTTAATCTGATAGCTTTGTGAATATTTTGTTAATTTTCACAAAAAATCGCGTGTATAATTTGAGAAACATATAATTACAGTTTCATTTTAGGTCTCTTTTAAACACTGAAGCCACACGACATTTAAAGATAATTGTTGCCTTTAATAAACAAAACAATAGCTCAATGTGGTAGCAAATAGTGATTTGTTTGGAAGCTGCTTCCTTCTCTTTTTCTCAGAGCGATATCGAAAACTTTTAATATCGAGTTAGCTAGTATTTTGGCTACCTCAACCACAGACTACAGAGAGTCAATCTCATAAAAGTTAGATGAGAATTTCGTATCTTTTTTCTGATCTTTTAGTGTACATTGAAATCAAGATAATTCTTTACCAAAGTTACGTTCTAAAGGTAGTATTTGTACCAATTACAGCATATCATGTAAAACCCATTTCTTGAAAAAAAAATACGAAATTGTTGGATAGAGAATCCCAAAGAGAATGTCATATTGCTCAGATTTCGATAATCCACAATTTCTTATTTTCATTTTTATACATGAAACTCTCTAATTTGATAAAATTACTACCTTCAGAACGGACCTTTGTTAGGAAAATTGTTAGAGTACAATAAAGACTCAAAGTCAAAATATCAACGAAAGAGAGAGACTGTCGCCATTTATAGTTGTTCTGGCGGCTTACCATAAATGATACTGGGTACATCCTACTTCTATGATCCTTAGAAGAATATTGAAGACAAGGGAAGTGTACAATGT